CAACCCCCTCTGTATCCAGTCTGGTTCCCTAAGAGAGAGAGAGAGAAAGATGTCAGTGTCTGTGTTTTCCAAGCGGGACTTTTACCTGACCTTACCCAGCGATGCGTCCATGGATGTTCATCCCAACAACAGAGTGAATCATTACGAAGTCAAACTGCCCTTTCCCATTCAAGTGAATCGCCAAGAGTGGGAAGTCGGCGTCAGTGAACTTCATTTCCCCATGACATGGTACAATGTGTCATACCCCTTCAACTGGTTTGTCCTTCATGTGAACTTGGAACGCATGACCCGGACTTACAGTTCAGAAGAACTCAATGCGTCCGTGACAGAAGAGAACCCAGGCATCATCAGAGCTGTCAGTGAAAAGGTCATTATTCCAGAAGGAGTGTACTCCAGTCGCCAACTGGTCCAGAGACTGAACATCCTGCTTCAACACACCTGTGCACGGCTGTTGGACAAGCATACGCAAGATGTTTACCAAGAGGATGCTCGAGGTCGTTTCACCGTCACCGTGAACTACCCCAGAGAAGACCTCCGATTTGAAATGCGTGGCAAAACGCATGTCAACTTTTATGCTCCCAGCCCGAAAGACATGTGCAGAGCTATCACGGGTTCCTCCTGCAGAACCGCAAACCAACCTGACCATGATGCCTTCAGGTCTGCCTACACCACCCGATTGGTGTTGCCTGCTCCTTTAGTACGTATGCTGGGATTCATTCAGCTCCCCATGGTGGATGAAGCAGAAGAAATAAGCCAAGTCTGTGCTCAGCCTGTGCAAGTGGGTGCGTTTGACCGTCCTCTCGTCGTGGGTGAACAGGAAGCACACCATCTGGCTGGTTTTGATACCGTGTACGTCTACTCGGATGCGGTGGAAGATCAAATCGTGGGGGATACCATGGCTCCCTTACTGATGTATGTTCCGGTGTCGCGCCAGATGATGGAAGACAGCGTCGTGATCAAAACCCCTCAGCACCTAAGCTACATGGGATTGTCAGGGAACCACGGATGCCATTCGAATCTATTTAACGGATGACGTAGGACGTCTCGTGCCATTCCAGAGTGGGAAGACCATCGTGACACTTCATTACCGTCCCCGTCGCCTTGGTACGTACTGAGAATCAGCATGGTAGGACATCAGTGTATCAGACTCCGCAGCGGCAGCGGCTTGGGTGGACAGCAGCGAGGAGGAGGCGGCTTAACCGTGTACCGAGGACGCATTCATCAACGAGGGAGAGGTTTCGGTAACATCTTGGGAAACTTGGGACGTTCAGCACTCTCCATCCTCAAGACGGTGGGAAAATCAGCTCTCAAATCAGGCGTCAAGATGTTGCCGGGATTGGTGCATGATATCAGTTTAGGACACTGAAGTGTGGGGGACAGTTTGAAACATCATGGAAAACAAGCCTTACTCGCCACCTTGCGACAGCACCCACTACCACCACCAGGATCACCCGCTCGCAAACGAAAACGGAAACAGCCTGTGGGATCCACCAAGAAACGTAAACCCTTGTTTTGAGAGAAAGAGATAAAGGCCCACCCCGATGGGAAAGGAGTTCAGTTCAACACCAGACACCGTAGGGTCAAGACCTGTTGTGCAGACCTGTGGTCCAGACCTGTAGTCCAGATCAGCGGTCAAGATGATGCGCCGAGATGCCTGTGAATGCTCCAAGGCCCAACTGGATCTCTTTTCTGTGCCCCCTGTGGTGACTTCCGTCCAAGAAGGTCAGTGGATTCGATACAGCCCTCTGGCACCCCCTTCGGTCGCGGGCCCTGTCAATGCCTACATCGATTTGAGCCAGTGTTACCTCCGCATCTGCCTCAAAATCAAGAATACAGATGGTACGAATGCAGTTCATGATGGCGATGGGGCACTCGCCGTGTCCACGGTGAACAACATGATGCATTCCCTCTTTCGTGAAGTGCGTGTGCAAGTGGGACACAACCAACTGGAAATTACTCCTTCCATGGGTACCTATCCCTACCGAGCCTATTTGGAAACGTTGCTGAGTTATGGGAAGGCAGCCAAAGGGACCCATCTCCAGTGTCCAGGATGGTACACGATGAAGCTGGAAAAATGGAGCACTTTAATGCTGTCGCCAAGAATGCCAACGCCGGACTTGTCGCACGACGAGGGGTCATTCTACCCACCCGAGACGTGGAACTGACAGGACGTCTCCACTGTGACCTGTTTCTCCAAGACCGGTACCTGGTGGATGGAGTCCCCATGAAACTAGAACTGATTCGCAGCCCGAGTGATTTCTACTTGATGAGTGCTGGAGACGTCGAGTGTCGATTTGAACTGACCAAAGCCGAGTTTTACGTGCGCCAAGTCAACATTGATCCTACCATATGGGAACAACACGTGAAACACATGTCACCAGGAGTCACGGCCAAATATCCTTTGACCCGAGTCCAAGTCACAGCCCACGACATATCAGGAGGAGGACGCGATTTCCACAAAGATCAACTGATTGGAGGCCAACTGCCCAAACGAGTGGTGTTGGGATTGGTGGACAATGATGCTTTTGCCGGCAGCAAGGAATAGAACCCCTACCATTTCAAGCACAACAACGTGACCAGTCTCAAGCTGAAACTCAATGGGCAAGAAGTGCATGGCACCGAAATCAAAAGCGACTTTCAGGACAACAGTGCCTCGCTCAAACAGTTGTACATGAACCTGTTCCGCAACACGGGACACCTGTGGCAAGAACATCCCTGCAACCTCACCCTGGACGAATTCAGGAACGGATTCACTGTGTGGGTGGTGGATCTGACGGCGGATCTGGGCGCAGATGAAGGGTATAACTACCCACGACAGACGGGCAAGTTGGGACTTGAACTTCAGTTTGCAGAACCCCTACCACGCCCCGTCACGCTCGTCTGCTACGAGGAATACGAAAGCGTTTTGGAAATTGATCGGTTCCGCAACGCTCTGATGGTCTAAGGATGGACGACGACGACAGTGGCTTGACGACCAGACACTTGAACGCCTCACGCACAACAGGATCCCCTGCTGCGACCCCTCTACCAAGGTACCTTTGCCCGAGATCACTTTGCCACCACCGTGCTGTGTGAACAGCAGGAGGGACATTATCCTAAAGCCTACATTGTCAACACGGACCCCAGCCATCTCCCAGGACAACACTGGGTGTGTGTGTATCGTCCAGTACCAGGTGCCATGGACTACTTTGACAGTTATGGACTCCATCCTTACCAACAGCATCCAGACTTTCGAAATGTCATGACCTTCGCCGGATGGCTCCAACAACAGTGGAATCATCAATCACTTCAACCCTGGTTCAGTGCCTCTTGTGGGATGTACTGTTTGTATGTACTGGCTCATCGTGCCCGTGGATGGTCTTTTGACGAAGTGATGGAACAGTTTGATCCCTACAATACCCCCGTCAATGAAGATCGTGTAAGACGTTGGTTTCAACCCACACACCTGACAGACAACAACGCTGGCCATGATCCACACCCCTGCCAAAGGACACAACCTTATCGTTCTGATGTGATGATGTTACAGTGATGATGTTACAGTTATGATGTTACAGTTCATACCGTTTGTAAACAAAAGATCAGGGACGCCCCTAATCCTGTCTCTTTCGTCAAAGTGTTCTTGTTAGCGGGGGAAATAAAACGTTTGAAAAAATGTCAACCTAGTGTTGTTATTATTGTTGTTGGCATTGAAATGAACGCTTCTTTTGAGAGAGATGGATGGCCCTGAAAAGGGCCGTTTTTTTAGAGTGTACTTCACTCCAGGGACCACAGCTGGGTCATACATTGGCAGGGATGGATGGTCATCTTTGTTTTCACGGGGCACTTGCTCCCATGAGTTAAACGCCTGATATAAGTGTCCTTCAAGACAGTGCCACAGTAGACACATTGAAAGGTGGCATTGTACTCAATGGTGCCATTGGCGTAGACGGGTAGACAACCATAACATCGTTGGCACTGCCATGCCGGCAAGGGGGTTGGTGATGCTGTCTCCAACGACATGAGTTCCAGATCCCAGTTTTCTCCAGACATGATTGCTGGTTGTAACACTGCTTCCGTCACCCCTCTCATCATATATAGTGAGAGCTCACGATCATGACGTCACCGGTGCCACGTCATTACCCTCACGCGCGACCATGACGTCATCGATACCACGTCATTACCCTCACGCGCGACCATGACGTCATCGATACCACGTCATCGATACCACGTCATCGACGACACGTCATCGCTGTCTCGTCGCCCATATATAAACTCCAGCATGGATCAGTGAGGGCTATCTTCATGCAACATGGATACAAGAAAAGTGGAAGTCATGCGACCGGTGCCTTACAGGAAAAATTGTGGTAGACGGCAATGCTTGCGATGCAGCCCTACCTTACAAGGGAAGGCTGATATCAAAATGGAAGAGGCAGCAACAACACCTGCAGAACCGATACCCACAACGGTAACAGCAGCGGCACCCACCTCGCTCGAAAGAAGGCTACATCCAATGTTTTTTAACCACACACACACACACACACACTTCTCTACCCACGCCATCGTCCGCCTCACCCCCTCTCTCCCTCCTTCCCTCTCCTTTCCTCTCCTTCCCTTCCCTTCCCTCTCCGTCCCGTCACGTCCGCCGCTCGTCCGTTCCGCCATCTTGAAAGGCGTCTACGCTCGCGAGATCCCGCGAGAATCCACGAGATCTCGCGAGATCTCACCCGATCCCACCGGATGGGACGCCATCTTGAAACGCGTCCGCCATCTTGGCCCGGAGGTGACGTCATCGTCATGCGCTCGCACCCACCGGAACCGGACGTGACGTCATCGCCATGCGTACGCACCCACCGGAACCGGAACCCGAGTGATCTCCCCCTGATGGCGGCACATCCGGTCCCCGTGGGGGCGCCATTTTGATCCAAGATGGCGGCGCCCATGGGGACCGGATGTGCCGCCATCTTGAAAAACACGCCAGGGAGACACTGTACACTACTGTCACATCATATTTTGTAAAGTAATAGCAGTACAACAATACTTTCACTTACAATTTGTGTATGTAATATTAATGTTCAAGATGATGTCTGGCTAATATATAAAGGGCCTTAATACATGTACGTACTTATCATGAACGTGTCTCATCCATCTACTCCTCCGAAATAGCAGTTTTTGATTATATTTGTTCAAAACTTTACATATGATATACCATTATAGCTGAAGCATTACAATGTCTTCTTTCCTTAATTTGTTATACTTTACAATAAATACACATTTTCATTAACGATTGTATTGGATGTGAAGGTGTGTACACAATATTCTACTTGATCAACACCAACAGGTGCTATTTATATGTCACCACAATGTTTTCATTGGATTTCGAAGTATTGTGGTTTGTTATAATATTTCATTCTAATACACATCTGTTCAAATAGATTTCAACTCATTAACATCAGGTTTTACTGTATACCCGACAGTAATACGTCTTATCCCTCTCAATTGGTAATCTTTAGTTGCAAGTTTTAAACAATAAGGATGGTAGACGTAGGTAAGTAGTCTTATTGTATGAAGCGTACTATAAATACAAGCGTATACAGACGTCAGCACTGACGGGAGAGGAGTGTTCGTAAAGGTATACTTAATCTACAGCACGGTCGTCAACAAGTATTATATTACTTAATGGTTGTAAAGATAACACCAATTATTTGTTATAACATTTACGATACCGATATGTTATTAAGATTGGCAACAGTTAATTGGCATAAGGTCTCACTAAAATATTATACTTACTATCAAATAGTAAACTTTGATTTCTATTTGTAAGATTTACAGATGGCATAACTTAGGTGGGAGACGTCGGGTCATCAGTGTCATGCAGTGCAAGCTTAACTTGAGGAAGCCCCACGTCCCGATCCTTGATCACAATAATAATCACTGTTTGGGATGGTTTGCTAGATTTATCAATGCCAAGAGAAGATAGTTCACTATTTGCCTCAAAGGGCAGACTTCTGACCAATAATATTTATGCATGAGTTGGTCACAGTCATTTAAGGCTCAAGTGATTACGCAAAAAAACGTCTGTTTTAACTGTCTTCTAACAAAACAAAAACAATGGTAACAAACTATCACAGCATGCTGTCGTCCTTTGATTTGCGCTCTTCTAGGGTGATGGCTTCAACTTCACTTGGGTCCGCAGTGTCATGGAGAGTCTTTGGTGACTTTCTGAAGGTCGTAGAGAGGAATCCACAGAAGGTGCAAGAGAGGAACATCACACCTGATGGAACAAGAGGCACAGTGAGTGAGTGAGTGAGGGTGTGAGTGGGTGGGTGGGTGAGTGAGTGAATAAGTGGGCGGGTGGGTGAGTGGGTCGGTGGGTGTGTGAGTGAGTGAGTGAGTGAGTGTGTGAGTGTGTGAGTGTGTGAGTGAGTGAGTGAGTGAGTGAGTGAGTGGGTGGGTGGGTGAGTGAGTGAGTAGGTCGGTGGCTGGGTGAGTGAGTGAGTGAGGGTGTGAGTGGGTGGGTGAGTGAGTGTGTGGGTGGGTGCGTGGGTTGGTGGGTGGGTGGGTGAGTGAGTGAGGGTGTGAGTGGGTGGGTGAGTTGAGTGAGTGAGTGAGTGGATGGGTGCGTTGGGTGGTTGGTGGGTGGGTGAGTGAGTGAGGGTGTGAGTGGATGGGTGAGTGAGTGAGTGGGTCGGTGGGTGAATGAGTGAGGGAGGGTGTGAGTGGGTGAGTGAGTGTGGGGTGTGTGAGTGAACAGTATTCCAGTTCTATCACGGCGTGTCGCCGTTATGAATGGTGACATTCCGACGTGATGCGGGCGTTTAGCAATTTGATGAAAGCATTGTCAGAAAAGTGAGTGAGTGAGTGAATCATTGCAACGGTATCACACGTCAAACGAGCCAGGCAAATGCATCATTAAGAGGGAGGATCATTCAGTTTACTTGGGAGAGGAGTCATTAACCATTTCTTTGATGGTCAGACCTGACTGAGGGACACACACAGGTTACAAAATGTCCATATAAAGGACAAGCGTGGGCAGATTACAAAGTGAAACTCTTGAACAAGAGCTGACGACACGCAATAAAGTCAAAGCCACACATAGTTATGGTGTGCCCATTCTCTCTCATTCTTTTGGCGTTGTTGATTTTATGAAACAGGAAATGTAGGCACACGAGTTTATATGCAGTGTGGTGAAAAGCAGAGCGACCCTGCACTATACTTCGTTTGGATTAAGACGGCTGGCTTGAAAAGTGAAACAAAACGTTTTCTGTTTGCTGTTCAGGTCCGGTGTCGTAGCTGTCAGTGTATGATTTGGCATAAAAATGTTAATATGAAATGTAGATTATGTGATGAATGTAACGAGACTGTGCAACACCTTGTCAGTGAATTCCCAGTGTCTTCATCAAGTCATCTTAAGTGACCTGAAAGCAGTGGCTGGTTCCTTGTATTACCGTCTTTGCCATGCTTGTGGATTTGGCCCAGATGCACAACCCACAATGTGCAGAGGGCGTCATGGTAAATGACCATTATTTGGGCTACTACCATATACCGCATCAGACGTGTAAAAGGCAGCACAAATTTACTTCCCATCAAAAGTTTAGACTCACTTAAAGCAGTCACTATATGTTATGTATAAACATATGGTTACATCTAAGATAAATTTCGCCACTAACTTGGGGGAACCAACTGCAGACCTTATGCAGATGAATTGCACGAGGATCATCCATCAAATTGCTGAAAAGCATGTGCAAATATCGTACATGTGAACAGCTGCGTTTTGGTGTAAAGTTTTGTTAAGAAGCATAATCATTTATTGAACTCATGATAATAATCTTTTCGTTACGAATTTGTTTTACAATGCATCCTTCAACACTGGGATAACACTTAGACGTTTTGCTAATTTCACGTATTCTCAAGAATCGACTTACGACCTCTTTGACCTTTTGGGGTTTCGGGACGTTTTTATGTGCGTTAACGTTTTTATGTGCGTTAACGTTGTACAACATAATCGTTTCAGGTTTGGGTCAGTTATAGTATGGGGCGGCATCCCAATGACTGGCCGAACTGCGCTCAAAACTTTCCATTGGCAGAGTAACTGGATATTACTACCGAGACAACATCAGTGCACATCGTGTTGGGTGAGGTGAGGTGAGGTGAAATTGGGTTTATCGTCATGCTTGAGAATATTTCGCTCATATGACGACGTGCATGCGTGTGTATGTGCGGCTGCTTGTACTAGCCCAGAATGAAGCTGGTTTCATAGTGCTAGCCCACTGAGACACCATGCCGCAGTGAAGCATGGATACCCCACTCAGACACATTATACTGACTCCTAGCCGACCAATCCGTGTTGTACCAATTAATGCCGAGCTCAGGCAGAGACCAACAAGTACCATATTTTAACGTCTTTTGGTATGACGCGGTCGAGGATCGAACCCGCGACCTTCCGCTCTCCTGGCGGACGATCTACCCACTACACCACGGAAGCGGTTACATCGTGTTGGGCAGGACGTCATCTCTTAATATGCATGTACTCATCATGCCATGCCATGCCATATGCTATGACATGTCTTGGCATGGCCAGCACTCACAAGTTTAACCCCTCTGAACACGTCACCTTCTCGGTGACCTTTTGTCGCTCTCAGGGACAGAACAACATTGATCTATACATTGTCGTGAAGCATCGATCTACGCAACTGGGATACGATGACATGTGTCAACCAAGTCAGCGAGCCTGATCACCCGATCCCCTTAAGACAACCATGGGTTGTTGAAGACCAATTCTAACCCGGATCTTCACTGGTCTAACTGGGATTTCTATACATCACTTCCGGTTTACTCACATGTACCTGATTGACAACAGTTGATCAATCTGAAAAGTTTTAAAACAGTTCAATAGTCTTGGTTTATGGTTTATCTCCACTACACAACGTACCTGCAAATATGTAGATACCATAATATTCCTGGAATATTTTGAAGACATATCCTGGAAGACAGAAACATGAATGTAATGTATTGGTTTGGACATTAAGGAATGGTGTGTCACGGTTGCAGCTGATGCTAAGCAGCACTCAACAAGTATGTGACACCACGTCTAATCCCCTACACGAGCTATAAACCTATCGTTAGATGTTACAATTGAGATAAAAATGAAGTGTTACATCCAAGTAGGTATCAGTTCGTTATATTAAATTAATCCGACTTAGGATTATACTATCGGTTTCACTTATTTGGGTCGTCAGGCCAGATTTGAAAAGGTCATTATGCGACGATGTCGTATTGGCCATTCAAGCCATACTCACAGAATAATCCTCTGTAGCCCGTGCTTACCCCAATGGCTAACTCCTGAGGATCGAAGTCATTCAAGACATACTCATAGAGTAATCCTCAGAAGCCCGTGCTTACCCCAAGGGCTAACTGTTGAGGATCGAAGTCATTCAAGACATTCTCATAGAGTAATCCTCGGACGCCCGTGCTTACCCCAAGGGCTAAGTGTTGAGGATCGAAGTCATTCAAGACATACTCATAGAGTAATCCTCAGAAGCCCGTGCTTACCCCAAGGGCTAACTCATGAGGATCGAAGTCATTCAAGACATACTCATAGAGTAATCCTCGGAAGCCCGTGCTTACCTCAAGGGCTAACTCCTGAGGATCGAAGTCATTCAAGACATACTCATAGAGTAATCCTCAGAAGCCCGTGCTTACCCCAGGGGCTAACTGTTGAGGATCGAAGTCATTCAAGACATACTCATAGAGTAATCCTCGGAAGCCCGTGCTTACCCCAAGGGCTAACTCATGAGGATCGAAGTCATTCAAGACATACTCATAGAGTAATCCTCAGAAGCCCGTGCTTACCCCAAGGGCTAACTGCTGAGGATTTTGTTTTTAGGCCTGTGTGCTGTACAATAAACTACGAACTCAAAGGTACCACAAATGTTAGTTCGTTATAACCGTAGTTTGTCATTTCGGTTAACATATACAGTAAGTAGAACAGAAAACCTAGCTCGTTATATCAGTCAGTTCGTTATAAACAGGTACCTTTTATAGTGTAGTTTACAGTGCAGTTTACAGTACATTGGTGCCTGGGCAGTCAATCAAGTGCTGATTTACCGTCAAAATATTCTACACATGATGTAACTTAAACATGGTTTTAAAACAACTTTTCGTTTGTTATTTATCAAACGGTTATAATGTTGTACCTGCTAAAGGCGGGCCAATAAGAAATCCGATACCACAAGAACCCATCAGAGCTCCAAAGCCGGTTGCCATGAGTTCCACTCCAAGAATTTCAAATGTAATTGGATTGAACAGAGCCCAGCTGCTTCCAGTGTAGAGACCAACAAAGAAGCCATACACACACACTGTCACTGAGGTAGATGTAAATAGGGGGGTGAGGAACGATAACACCCCCATAAGGCCGTTCAGGGAAGCAAATATCAGTCCACTGCCTATGCCTGGATCTTGTGCTGCAAATCCTGTGAGAACACGCGACAGTACGCCACCTATACCGGAAGTAGAGACACTGAAAGATGCTGCTTGAAGAGATATTCCTTGTTTCCTTAAAAAGTCTGGGAGGTACAAATACATGGCCGATGTGCCCATGCCGAATGAACAACCACACAAAAGAAAGAACACAAATGATTTGTTCCTGAAAACCTTGGCATAACCAGAACAATCACCACACAACGCCATCAACAATGTAAGACATGTTGGACGACCATTGAATATCTTGGCACGGCGTTCCCTTTCGAATCTGGTCGGCTTCATAAGCATCCCAAAAACACACGAATTGAATGCTATTGCTCCAACGATGAGGAAGGCTTGGCGCAGTCCGTACGTATCTATGAGGAACTGGCATAAGAGCGGATGTACAAACACCCCAATGGCCATCCCACTCACCGCTATTCCGCACACCAGGCTCATGTTGTGTTTGAAATGGTAACCGAGAATTACTAGAGCACTCGTGTGAGACAAGCTGGTTCCAAGTCCTGAAAAAGATAAAGGTTTCACGTCATATACGAAATTTCTAAAACATATTTTGTTGTGATGAAATATACAGTGAAACACCCAACTTTGATGAGTCGAACTTACGATTGTCTCGAAGTAAGAGCTGAGTCCTTGTCTTTTCCTTTTCTAGATATCAGTTTACGGTTGTATCGAACCTTGAATAACTCGAAGTATTTACGTAGTTTCCTTCAATTTCGAAACAACGGTGTTCGACTGTCTGGTTATGGTTTCAGTTGTCCAGAATTAGAATTAGGTTATGTAGGGGCCCTATTTCGCTTGAATGTAGACTGCAGTTATTGTCCGTCTTTGGAATTGAAAACATTTAATGTTAAAATGTTGGGTTTTTTTTTAGTGAAACGTGGTCTCGTCCCTGTTAGGCTCATTATGTTGGGATGACAATATGTGGAATATAGCACCAGTGTTATACAACATCCATTTCCCCTCGCTATACCTACCTGCAAGTAGGGCATAGGTTACAAAAAGCCACTTGAGTCGTTTATGAACATATTTGCGGAGAAACCTACAAGGCCTAGTATCCCAGATATGACTACACAGGTGCGACAGTCTGTCATGTTGATGACGAAGCTTGCCACTGGACCTGCGAAAATAAAGGAATATACCAAATTAGAAATAGTCTTAAACATTACATTTCTCCCTTACTGTGTCATAGTTCTAATACTGATAATATTGAAATTTATCAGTGTATATTGTCTGCCAAATTTCTAATATTTGTTTTATGCCAATGTATTGTTGTAGTAAATATGTTACATGAATGGTAGTGAGAGTCTGGAAACGTTCATAACGTAAATAGTTCATAATTGGTTGTTAGGGATGTATTACTGTTTATGTAAGCAGTTGAGGGAAGTAATATTTTGGAGTATAGATTTATGCCGCATCCAGCAATATTCCACATATATGGCGGCGGTCTGTATATGAACGAGTCTGGACAAGACAATAAAGTATAAACAACATGAGTATCGATCTACACAACTGGGATACGATGACATACGAGCCTGACCACCTGATTCCGTTAGTCGCCTCTAACGACAAGCATGGTTCACTGAATATCAATTCTCTTGGAGCTAAATGCAGGGCTTCAAACGTGAAGAGAGAGGAAAGGTTCAGATGCCAGGGTCCAAGGGGTGCAGGCCCTGGTGGGTGGGGTGGGCCCTGGTAGGTGCTTCATATATTCCTTTCTCAGATATACTCAGATCTTTGTAACCCAGTTTGGCGTGAGACTTTTCAGTTTTGTCGTGAGATGAATAAAAAAGCGTGAGTCACAAGCCAAAGGCGTGAGAGTTGGCAGGCATTCACATGTAGTCCGAAATTATCCAGAACACTGTAGATTGAATCCAGTATTGTATTGAATTATTCCGACAATATAAGTGGGCAAACATCTCTCATCTCGCATTATGTCACCACCAGCGGTTCCACGAACATACTTCTTTTCGCCCTGTATTTTCCAGCCTAGGCTTATTGTGGATTCCTGTGCCGGAGCTGGATGGTACACAGGACCAAACACCGGATAGTAAACCATTGAAATAAACGTAAATACAGTAGGAAATATATGCCATGACCGGATTTACGTATGTTTCCAGAGACTTCCCAACTTCGGGCATATATTTCATATGAATCTATACCTGTGAAACATATGCTCGTCGTAAGTTTTCGTATGCACAAGGACCTCGTTCATGTATGCCATGACCGGATTGTCAAGTATTTCCAAACATGAATTGCAAAACAGATACCCCAGTAAATACATGATCATATAGTATTCCAGATACATTCCTTTGAATTTCAATGGGTGCTGAAATTTCCGATTTCGTTCTAAGTTTACTCAAACTTGCAAATGTTTACACACCTTAGATATGTATGCATCATACCGACTTTCAGGGGTATGTATATGAACGGTTCATACACCTTCATGTTACCTGTCCTCAAGCAAGATGATCATTTGTTTCCATCATGTGAATTACTTTGTTCATGTAATTTCATTTTCACACATTTTAGTACGTTTGAAATCAACGTTCACGTGACCTCATTATTCTTATCATCAAAAGAGCCTGACTAAGAAAGGAATATTACGCAAGCTAATTAAGCTGCACTCGCTCTTGCTACCAGTATCAGTTACGCTTTGTCTGCGGTGTTGGCAAATCTTGTGAGTGGTGAACAAAAGGGCGATGAGCTGCCCCTTTGTCCTTGCAAGTGTCCCTAGCTGTCCCAACAGAATAGCACTTTATCTCTCTTGGAGCGCGGCCAAATACGCTACACGAACCAACTCGTAATTTCTTAAGTCTCTTCAGCTCGCGCATCAGTACTGTAAATAGTTTTTGGCAGTACATAATTGGAATATTATTGCACTGCATTTGACCTTTCTTATTACTCTCACAGTGCCTGAACCATGTTTTTTCTCCTTCCGCTCAGCCTTTGCTGTAATAACGCCACACATAAACTTAAAATTGTCCACATTTGTTTCATTAACACAAACGTATATGATAACAAACATTGCCATATCAAATTATATATTCTGTGTGACATGAAATGAAAAATAGCTTTTATCGTGTAGCGATTATGACCGGATAGCACAGGCGGGTGCGTTCTCTGAGTATACCATAGGCATGTTGGACCCCTGTGCCTTTTGTGAAATTCGTCTTGATTGTCCTGTTTAATTTGACGAAGATCAAGAGAGAAAGGGGTACTGTGCGATGTATCTGGCAGACGTACATGGAGAAAGTTCGAAGAATGTTGCTGTATAAATACAATCATAGAAATACCGGTTATGTTTGAAAAGTACCCTCCATCTGATAGCCAGTGAGATTATTGTGAAAGATCGCAATATGTATGATCATAAACGGGCCCAGATAAAAGTACATGTCATTCATTCCCACATTATATCCCCTTCATAGACACAGTACATGGTTGTTACAGGTAGGGCAAACACCTTCTTCTATAGGCATCTGCCGGTTTCACGCTACATACATGTATTCAGATTATTGAGAAAAGTAGCGCCGCATATTCTCCTCCATCACACATATAATTGTATAGATACCCAGTGATTAGGGATAGCACTGAAGCAACTTAATGAAATTTACGACATACACTATCATCTGTAGTAGTACTGCCATACCTAGCATCGTATTTATTACCCTCTTACATAAGGTGAAATATCACAGGGTTGTCATGGTAACGATAATTGGCATATCATTTTTTGTCTTATTCTTTTATCTGCGATCAGAATATATATCAGTTTTGACGTGAGCATGTTAAGAGAAAAGAAGCTGTAAAAACGAATATTTATGTGATCGAACCTATTGGCCTTTTTAAAAGCGAATTTCAGGCCACTTACATAAAAAAAACCTTCATGATAAATATCTGCTAATCCGTGGCACGATTCCAACCATATCATGGGCATGTGTTTGTGAATCATATGAAATAGTGATGTTACAAGGCGTCCATGCCGCGTCAACAACACATGCAAACGCACGAGAATTACAATACGGGGCCCCTAAACCACTGATGCTCCATGACCTGGAGACACATGTGATTGAGCGTATGTAGGGACGGGTAGAAGACAAAAGACAAAATGGGTACTCGTGCGGTTATACTTTTGAATTATAAGCAAACATTCGTTCTTATAAATGCATACTTTCCAGTTTCAACCAAATGTACATTTGAAGGATATCTAAATCTAGGTGAAGTTGTTTGAATCATATTTACAATTAAAAGACCCAAACAATGGTCTGTTGTCAAAATATTTTGTTTTCCATATCATGTCCCAATCTGTATCCAGAGACCATATAATAGTCTATTATATGGTCTCTGCTGTATCATAGTCACAGAACGATATTATTTCCCCTTCCGCCCAGCCCTTACTGTAATGCTTACGCCCTAAATGAGGCATATCTAGATATTCCCAGGTTCAACGTTTGTTATAATCTGCAGGAAAACTCACTGCAGGGTTCGGGTTACAGAGTAAACATACCAAACACCCATGGCCGGCGGGGACCAACATCTTCAGTAACATTTACACCTGCCAACGCTCAATTCGCAAGTGGTGAGGCAATACGCTAATGAGGCTAAGGGTCCTGTACCATGTTTGTGAAATATCTATGATGCCTTATATGAAGTCTAAAATCTAAGCAAGTCTAGCTATGTATGACTTCAAGTCGATGCTTGAAGAAAGGCTCCTTTAGAATTTTGTTTGGTAAATATTAGCATTTCACTGACTTAATCATATTTGAAAACACATGGCAACCTATACTTCATTGTGACTATGATTAAGATCATTGTAAAACACAAGGGTTATTTTCTTTGAGTTAACTGACAGGCTTTCGGTATCAAATATTTGGAACTCCGGCCAAAGGTGATGTTATGCTGTCTGGAAATATAGTGTTTTTGTAATGCTTTGGTTGCACTTAATGATAAGTGATTGTTAAATGTACATATGATGTTTTTGAAGGATAATCTCAGTTGACTCAGGGACTTTGCACGTGTTTTCCCCCACTCTTTCCACACCTATCCTTCGGTTTTTATGTTTGTGACATGATCTGCACACTGATAATTTAAAACAGGTATATAAATAATAACTCTTTGCAATCTTTACCCAGTTTAGTTTTCCATTTATTTAGCAATTTTCAGTTTCTACTATTTTCTGGATTTTTTTTACGGAGGTGCATTTAACAGTTTTACCCAATAACAGTAAAGCATACAGATAATACGTTTCTGTAGTTTGATAGGTTAATAAGTTTACATTATATTTCATGATATTGGGATGTCAAAATGATTAACATTATTATATAATGTATAACAAATCAGACAGCAAAAAGCAAAAATTAAAAACGCATGAGCAACATAAATGATGTCAGGTAGTAAGCTTTCAATAATTACAGAAACTGCTTAGTTATCTAACTTTACAAACTAATTGCAGTCACCAGAGTTTTTCTATAATCTACCCCAGAGATGGACTCAAAATAGGTGTACAGTATATTCCGTCGGGTAACTAAAATTTGAGAAAACTTCCGTATGGGACAATATCTGTATTCCGAATCAAAAAGAGGCCATCCCAAGTAGTGGTGTAACGATTCATCGATAGTATCGATGTTTGCATAGTCAGCTATGCGATACGAATGCATCAATACAAAACACATTTAGGCAATACATCAGGATATTTATATCGCGAGGGTTCATGATACATCGATGTATCGCCACAAGAGACGATATATCCCGATACTACTTAAGTACTACTTAAAGTTGTAAGGAGTATTGCATTAGGAATAGGAAGGGAGTCTCTTTGAAGTCCTTCTGAAATTTAAATACAGATTGAGCCTTATAGGAATTTGTTTGTATCTGTTACATGAACGAAGGAGTTGGTGTAGAAGTGAAAGAGTGTGAACATGTTTCAAACTCTGTGAACTGTACAATACTTGTCTTCAAGTAGTTGAAATATGTTTTAGTTGTTTGACACATAACACGATTTATTCACAACTATGAATGGTGTCTTACCTTTGTTAAAAAAAGAGAACAAAGATAAGATGCAATTTAGACAGCAGCCTAAAGAGTTTTTTTCAGTGATTCTGATATAAATTGCATTGAATTGTTTGTGAAAGAAATGGTGTAGAAACACAACTTCCCAAAGGAAACTTCAGTTTCAAATTCATTTTCAGGAGTGCTGAACATGTTTGACTGAACATTCTTCAAAATGAAATGCTGAAATTTTATTAGCTCAACAGCTTTTTAAGTGTGTGTGTGTGTGTGTGTGTGTGTGTGTGTGTGTGTGTGTGTGTGTGTGTGTGTGTGTGTGTGTGAATGTAACACAGGTTTTAATGAATTTATAACCATTTTAAATCACGATATGGCTGAAATATTGCCACTATGACTATAAACTTTAACTCACTCACTCACTCATGATATATCGTCTCGTCTCATTAAACTGGTATCAGTATATATCGTCTCCCCGCTGAGGCTATGAAACACAGCTCTAATACCAAGTATGTGCATATTAACTCATTTACAACTGTTACAGAAATTTACATCGGGAATCAGTAATACATTGTAATCATCCTATTTTGAAAGCATAAATAGCTATGATCATGAGTATGACAAGTGTGCACTAAAATTAGGGCCCTACCGGTTCATGTCTGTGTGAACACACCTGTCTGTGTTTTATTGCAATAAGCAGTCTCTCCTTGTATGTCATATATAAGAAGTGTACCTAAGGTCAGTTATTTAAACTATAATGTAATTTCCATTGCAAAAAGTATAAACGGTATTACCTACAGATCAGAAAGGCTTATCAGTACCCCACAGCCACCACCCCACCCTATGCCTACCCTATCCCACACCCTCTCCCACTCACACACATGCACACACGTGCACACACTCCCTAACATACATATCACTCTGGCCCAAAGACCCAATATTGGAACCTCTTAAACAGACATCATGTGTGTGTCAAGAATGGCGGGCACGTTAATAGTGGTGCTCAGTCATAGCTATCACTTCGTCATGTGTTGCTAATGATCTCCGTGCATTATGGCGTAGTCCAACGCGCTAACGAATCCGATGTGACAGTTACATTACAGAATCATTGAAATACATGTTAAAGTAGTGTTAGTCTTGTAACACTATATTTACCAATTACCAACCATTTACGCGTGTACTAAATATATGACAAACCCAACCCTGGTCATACGAGATTTCAAAGGTATTAAATTGCATGTCCTATAATCACAGCATTTACATATGTTACACATGCTAGAAAACACATGAAAACAATGGCCAGATTTACACACCTGTGAAATACATGTAAATACAGAGTTGAGTGTTCGTTTATTTTAACATCCCTTTAAACGTGTGTAAATCTGACAGCCAGATGATACGTAAATTTCAAACGTTTGTTCATATGGACCCCGGATGAAACGTATATTTCCTAACGTTAGTAAATTTGGGTAATATAGTAATTTTGTGTGGTGGTAGTTGTTGATCCTATACAGACAGAATGGATCAAGTGACAAGTGTGGACTAATGCGAAGAAGCCTCGGCACCTCCCACTTACAGAGCGTGCCAACGGGCTTTCAGATGGACTTTACAAAACAAAGTTATGCCATTTGGGATCACGAACGCTCAAACGTTTTTTAATCAATATATGTCATTTAGCAACCCCTCCACAAGTTACCTTGGCAACAGGGTAAAAAGTTTGGCCGATTGGCAGTGACATTCGTACAGGAGAAAGTGAATCAGGCCTTTCTCATCATGTTTGTTATATTTCACCAACATTTGACATTGTCAGATAAGTTATTACAATAAAAAAGAAACTTACTCTTGCATAAAATGAAGATAACATACAGCGCCTAATGCGCTGGGGCGGTATTCATAAAGCTTCTAAGAATTTTCTTAAGAGTTAAGAATTCTTAAATCCACTAAGAATTCTTAGTTTCCATAACAACGTTCTTAACTTGTAAGAAAAAACTTAGACAAGTAATTTTGTTCTTAGTTTTGTTCTTAACTTTAAGAAACCTCATGAGGACACCTAACTAGTTAAGAAAATTCTTAGTTATCCAATATGGCTGCTCACGGAAACGCAAACTTTCACACTAGGAAGAATGTTTTTGATATGTACACCGACAGAGAGTTATTACGACGTTATCGTCTTGACAGAGGAGGGATAGAGTTTGTGACAGGCTTGATATCGGATGAAATCGATGCACTTACCTTTAGAAACCGGTCCTTACCAGCCCTATACAAAGTGCTTGTAACATTGAGGTTTTTTGGCTACAGGCAAAATGCAGCTTTGCAATGCAGATGACATGGATATTTCACAACCAACAGTAAGTCGGGCTGTAGCGCAGACGTTAGCTGCTCTAAATGCACCTCATATTGTGCAGAGATTTGTCTCGTTTCCATTGTGTCAAAGACAATTAACCGATAACGCTAATGAGTTCGCTCACGTTGCAAACTTCCCAAATGTGGCCGGTGTCATTGATGGGACACATGTTCAAATAATCGCACCACACGTGAACGAACCTGCGTTTGTGAACCGAAAACACTACCACTCAATCAACACCCAACTAGTTTTTGATGCGCATTACCGGATTACCGACGTCGTCGCCAAGTGGCCAGGATCAACACATGATGCACGGATCCTTCGAGAAAGTGGCCTCCAAGTTCTCTTTGAAACAAGGAGGGTACCAGGCAACTTTCATTTATTAGGAGACAGTGGGTATCCCTCAAAAACTTGGCTTCTGACACCATACCTCCGGCCGAACAACGCTAACCAACTTGCGTATAACCGGTAAGTTAATTCAATTAGACTTACTTCCCTTATTTTAGGAATGTCAAAAGTTGAAATGGGTTGTTGCAAAATTATGATCTCGAAATGAAATGTGAACTTGTTCAAATAAAATGAATACAATCCAGTGTTTAATTTGAGTGTAATTGATTTATTACTGAGTCAGTATATTGTCAAAGCTTTATTAGACATTTCACGCCAATAGAATTCCATTATGATTTGAAGAAATATGTTTTTTCCACATGTCTGTATATTCAACTTTGAATTGTCAAAATTATTTATGAGACACCCTTACCAATTATTTGGAACATTTACTCATATGCATTTTGTTATCCCATGAATAATACCTGAACGTGATAAAATACAGTACAATGCATTTATTGGTGTTCACAAGGATACATATAGATGTTTCTTTACTAGACAATATAAACTGGAGGCCATACAAAAAGTCCTGCTTTATATCACTGTTTAAAGATAATATTGGTCAGGCAAACTAGTTTTAATTTGTATTGATTATTATATTTTTGGGGTCATCTTGAATGAGCATTTTTACCTTTTCCTCAAAGAAAAATAAACAAAGGTCTGAAGTGGAAAAATCCATGTCCATTTTAGGAATGACAGGTTTCTCTAGTGTAGCAAAAATGTGATCAAGGAACAGTAATGTGACACAAGAACATATTTACACGTGGCCATATTATCAATTCATGATGTCACATTGATATGTAAGTGCTTTGCAGGTATATTGAATTGTTTCATTGTGTGAAATGCATGCTAAATTATTGATGTGTTTTTCTAGTCCTATTGCAATTTGATTTTTTTCAACAGTTCCCACAAGAGAACCCGCAGCATCGTTGAAAGGGGAATCGGGCAGTTGAAGAGGCGATTTCATGCTCTTCATGTTGAGCTGAGGCTCAGTCCCCATAAAGCCTGTCAGGTGATTGTGGCCTGTGCTGTGCTACATAACATTTGTAAAACCAGGAACATCCCTGACCCAGAAGAAAGCAATGACATTCCCCCAGGCACCCCACAGCCAGAAACGCTACCACATCCCCCCACACCAAGCAGCAGCAGTGTGACTTCAGGTGTTGCTTACAGAGATCAGTTTGCAAGAGTACATTTCTCATGTGAGTACATTATAACAATACTCTGATGTGGTCCACAAAAAAGTTTATTGTTGCTTCTCAAACAACTTTAGCATGTAAAAACAACAACCCAATAATCAAAATTTCATTTTGATCCTAAAACATCAGTGTCATTAAAAATGAAATGTTGTGACAATAATAGTTATATTCAGGTTATATTAGAGTGTTATAATGACAAGAAAAAGAAGCAAAAGTCCTGTACCTGATGGTTTTAGTTCTGAATTTTACAAATTTTTCTGGAAGTAGATTTTGAAAAAACCTTTGATACAGTTGTTTGGAAATATATTGATAAAGTACTAAGTTTTTTTTCAATTCTGGCCCAGTAATAAAAAAATGGATAAACATACTCTACAAAGATATACATTCTTGTGTCCTTGTGAATGGATTTGCTGATCCTTTCTTTCCAATATCACGTGTAAGTTTCTTTGAAATTGGCCCAAATCAAATAAGAGAATAATCAAAGACTATAAACCAATATACATATATGTTCATAGCTGTATAGACTCTGATATTAGCATCTTTACATACTAGTAAATACATATTCTCTTGAAGGTGTTAAGAACATGCAAATTGTTAATCTAATGGCTCACTAACACCCCCGACCCTCAGCATGCTGACTACTTGAATTGTGTACTTAAGCTCATGAGTGTAGTAGGTTCCTAAGAATACATATAGTTCTATAGACTAAGACGTTATCAATTTTGTAAAGTAACACAACACTACTGGATTACAAAAAAGATTGAATGAAAACATTGGGATGAATATTTTTTTCTAATCTCAAAAATTCTTCACATCTCAAAAATGCCTAAGTCCAAAAATAAAAAAAATTCAAATAAAATTCAAAAACTGGCATAATCACTTGAAAGTTGGCACTGTACCTCTATCATTAGTGCGGAAGGCTTGGGCAAATATGAAAAGAATGAGATGAATAGTTTTCCACAATCAGTAAGACAAATTTATAACTCTGAAAGGACAAAATACCCCAAAATTCACATAAAATTACACAATCGGTGAAATTACATGAAAATCATTACTGCCCCATTAGCATTAGTGCGAAAGTCATGTGCAAAATTTACTCCTCCCCAGTATTTTTCAGCTCTTTCACTAAGACTGCTTTCCTTAGTTTGAGAACTTCAATTTCCAGTTTTAATTTTTCAATCGTTGATTCTGCATGTTCCTTTGCAGAGGCCTGGCAAGTATGACAGCTTGAGGATGGAGCAGTTGGAGTTGAGACTGGTGGACACACTCTGACTAGGGGCTCGCTCACTGTTGTCGGCATGACTGGGACCTGCACCCCGGAGAAATCCAGCCTCCTCAGATCAACCTCACTGAAAGTGTCTAATCTGTTAAAAAAAACAGAAATTGTTAGTCATGTCGTAAATAAATGTCCTACTATGCCATTGGTCCGAGTAACCATAATAACTGTTTACTAGCCTTAGAAAATAATAGGACCAACTGTCTGATCAGCTACAAATGGAGTGCTTTCTTTGGATGTGTCACTAATGCTGACTTGGCTGTTGCAAATCTATCAGTATTCATAAAAATAACACTCAAATATTTTTATTGGTTCAGTTTCAAGCATTGTACCTTTTGATGAAATATTATATTGCATGCATCTTAATCCAAAAACCATAATTTCTAAACTGTTTGTAACGTCCTTTACATTATCAGCAAACATTTCTGTGTCATTAGCATACTTTATGATAATTACAGTTTTACATATGGCAATGGCTTCATTAGCTAATTCAAAACCCTTACATCCATGGAAAGATAATCTTTTCAGTCATTTACATACAAGGAAAATAAAATTGGGTAGTAATATCGTTGTTTCATGTTTTTAATGGTTTTAATGATTTCATCTTAACTTATGTCCTGATTCAATACAGAGTTATCTCCCATGCCAAAGTCATTTAGCTAACTGTCTCAATATTATCACATTAATTTCTCTGAAATGCTCAGAAATCTATAAGTGTTGCAGTGTTGCTATCTGTCTTGTTAATCCTATCAGATTTATTCAAAATCTTCCAATAGTCCAAAAGGGACTTTGATTTAATGATTCTTAATCTGTTATTTGTTAACAAAGCCATGTCACTCTCAGTTTGGGGGTATTGCATATATGATAATATGATAAATAAATGTCAAATGCCATGTGTATCTCATTTCTCCAAATATGAGCTGCATCACTTGTGGAAATATCAAAGTCCACTATTTATATTAATTTGTGTATATTTGTATGTTTTCCCCATGAAACTACCTGTTTGCAATGAGTAACATAACATGTTATTGTACTAACTCAGGGAAATATCATATGATGACCAGAAAATAAATACCTGTTTGCTTCAAAGCTGGGTGACATCGCCAGTACTTGCAGCATGCTGGAGTCAGTGCTGTTCGGGACCCCCGAAATGACCATATTGTCATCGCCCAGGATGTCCCGAACCACTTCCGTCACTGTTGACAGGGGGGTGCAGGATGGACCACCTCCTTTTTTAAACATATCAAATTGATAATCACCATGAACAGATTCAAGAGTTTTTAGGATTTTCGCAGGAAAAGTCTTGTGTTTTTACTTCAAATGCCTATTAAACATATATATACAAATTCAGATTAAAGAGCCAGATAATATTTTATTTTTGTAAAATCCTTATTGAGTTTTGTTTATGACAATGTTTTATTAAAGGAAAACCATTAAATGTATAAATATGAAAGTGGATCTGAATAAAGATAATTCATTAAAATGTATATTGATTTGCCAAAATAGTATTACATTACACATATTTAAGTAACTTTAGAAATTATCATTCAACCACAAACAGTTTCATAAATATACATAACATATATTAAGTGATTGAGTAGTGTAGTATGAATAATAGATGTCTTACTGTTTCCTTTTCCACTTCCATGTGTTACATTTCACTTCTGTTATTTCATGATTACCTGTGGTGCTTGTTGACCTTTTATAGGCTGATATGTCACACTTGGCTTTGGATTGAATATTGTGCCACTTCTTCTCCACCTCTTCCACAGATCTAGTTACATCTAGAAAAAAACATGAAAGTTATCAATATATGCTCTATTTGTTACAATAAATATCCACTCTTACACTTTTATTTGTACTTATTGTGTTATTTTGTCATAAACCTGGATACACACAAACCTGGATACACACAATTCATGGATCAATGATGTAATTACATTACTGTAAAATAATCATCTAATGTTTTGAGTGAAAACCGATGGATTTATAACTCATCATAATTCAACATTTCCAAATGAATGAAGGCACAATAATTACAATGATAGAAACTACAATTGGCCAGAAAAAGTGTGCTTTAATATATTGAAAAGATGGAAACATCAATACAGCAAGAATCAATTAAATGAGACATGAACATTTTATAATTTTATAATTATTTGAAATGAGTGTATGGAAATGTACAGCAACAGTGTGGATATATGAGCGTCGTCGATAGAGGAAAATTCAATTTCATTTGAAAACTCATGTCAAATTGATGTCTTTCAACCATATATTTGATTTTTATAAACATAATGATGGAATATTCTCAAAAGTAATTGGCTAAAGAAATGCATTAATTATCAATATTTCAAACCTGCTTCAATAAATCAATCAATTCATTCTGTTAAAGATCAGTTATTTAGTTGCTGAAACATTTTTTTAATAAAATAAACGTCACTCACTTTGGAAGGTGGAATTGATTTCAGCGCATATGTCTGCTCATTTTTCCTTTTTCTTTTGTGCTGTTACACCCGCGCCAAATTTGCCTAGTAAGAGACTCTTGTTTTGCTCCACAAGGCGGGTTAGAAGCAAATTCTGCTCCTCCGTCCAGTTAGGTTTTCTTGACTTTTTTGTCGGTGGTTCCATTTTGCTGTCGTCTGCCTTAAAAGGTTTTCCTATCTTTTCGGCTGAAGAGTTCGTTTCCGTTACTAAAATTAGACTTGGGGTTTTCCGAAACGTCATTCGTGTACCACTAATACCGGTACGTACGATCCCATCATGCTTTATGATTTCTTCTTAGAAGATTCTAAGTTGTAAGAACATTTTTAGCTAAGATTTTTTCTTAGTTTGGGTTAATAAAGAAACTAAGAATTTTTCTTAAACTTAAGAATTTTTAAGGAAACTTAAGTAAAAAACTAAGAAAATTCTTAGAAGCTTTATGAATACCGCCCCTGGAGTCAGTATTCACGGGAATTGGACCCATACAATCATATTTAATGCAAAAACATCACATGTTCATCAATGGCAGGGGCGGTTGGGTTCCCCACATGGGTAGAATATGTGAAGCCCATTTCTGGTGTCCCCCGCCGGGATATTGCTGGAATATTGCTAAAAGCGGCGTAAAACTGAACTCACTCACTCACTCATCATTGGTACGAGTACCTTGAATATGATCAGTGCCAACTGCAAACGTGGCTAGGTATGTTTATTACAATATTTCATAATGATCACGTTTAATGTTTATTTCTGTTTACCATACTTCGCTTTAATGTGATGTGTTGTGACTGCAAATATGATTCGCGCTGATACATACAACCCTTATGTTTAGTACGTGGAATGTTTCCTGTATATAACATACTTATCAGATTTTGACAAGACATTAGCAGCAAACGTTCTGTGTTCACACTTCCTTTGTCTGAAGGAGAGTGTTTATTGCAGTGTAATATTTCTTAAGATAGTTCCCTGATTGTATTTTATTGGTATTGTTATCATTCAATAGAAGGCCATAACAGTGTGTTTAAAGAATAATATGTTGTCAGGAATGCATCTCTATCTACTGGAAGTACTGACGTTTCAGTGCTATCGCCTCTTCATACTGTAATGCTAACTAATGGCTCTGTTATTCTTACTGTTAAACTTATAAGTATTCCTAACTCAGTCATGTGGAAATGTTTAGAATTATCAGTATTAATTAATTTATAACATTTTCTAATAATGGTAGTAGCAAATATTCAAATATGTTTCAATAAGGTTTTAGTTGGCTTGTAGCGCCTACGAACATTAGCCTGTTTGTAGTGTTGTATTCAGCCGAACATGGCTTCAAGTCACAAGATTTCCACAATCAAAATTGTCTCTGTATTCATTATTTAGCTTCGATTTCTAATGAATGAATTATTCATCGACGTCAACATCCATAACGAAATAGGAACATCTGTTACTTCTGTTCTGTTTATGTTAGAACGAGTTTTCAGCTTTAACATCTGGGCAGTCACATGTAGAACGCACTATTTACGCGAACACACGCGCTCCAAACGTATTAGTGAGTGGGGTTTAACGGGTGTGTGAACGTATTCCGGTTAAAAAAGGCGGGTGCTAACTGAACGAGTGGGGAGAGCCCGATGTGATGGAAGTGTCAGATGTTTACCGCACGAACACCATGAGCACGGCCCGTGATGACAAACCTTGAAATCATAATCGAGGCATTTTGGGTGTGACCAACGGACGCAACCTTCCACAGCAAACTCAACCCAACGGAAGTTAAAAAGATTATTCCAAATCTGCATCCTCGTGAGCATCTGGTTAGAGTTGATCTTCCTTGTCGCGGATGGCGACTGACGGGATTGGGTGGACTTGGTTAATGAGTCAGATCATCATATTCCAGTGGCGCAGATCGTTGCTCGTGTTGTCAAATAGTGGATTGTCTGCTTACAATCAGCCATCGTATGGCCAGAATAAAGCTTACGTTAAAGAAACAGATATAAAAAAATCATGTAATGAACACAAACAAACAAACCTGCAAGTGAGGACATGCTGAAGAATAACGAACCAAGCCAGACCGTAACGTCAACATCAGCGCGGTACGTCTCCAGTAACGCTACGTGGAACACTCCATAACAGAGACTTGAGTTGAGGAACAACGTCATGAACGACAGGGCGATAATGAAGTAGGAATACCAGCCTTGTTTCTGGACGTCGCCATCCTTGTCCATCATCTTGACCACAACGACCACCCCTGAAACAGCACATTGCCAAGAAACAGCACATTGCCAAGTAGAATATCGGCCTGTGGGCGAGATAACAACCTAATTGAATGCAACCCTTACCTCCACCACAGATACGCCCACATCTACAGTGACATCCTTGAAATAGCCAACAATGAAAGGGGAATATCGTGACGCTGCGTGATGTGGCGGTATCGATCGAGCATCCCCCTGTCGTTACTATCCACTTACTCTACCTGGTATTAGAAGCTGATCCGGGTCATAGACGGGACATCCTGTGAGCCGGGGCTATTCGGTGCTCGTAGTGTAGTGTGTCTGGCATTCATATCAGATCAGATCATCAGTTATTCGAATCACAAATTTACTCTGATTAATTATATCCTATTATTAGTACCATTTGTTTGTTTGTTTGTCAACACCGCACTCATCAGTATTCCAGCTATATGGCGGCGGTCTGTAAATAATCGAGTCTGGACCAGACAATCCAGGGATTGACATCATGATCATCGATCTACGTAACTGGGATACAATGACATGTGTTCACCAAGTCAGCGAGCCTGACCACCTTATCCCGTTAGTCGCCTCTTATGACAAGCAAGGGTTGCTGAAGATCAATTCTTGAACCAGTAACATACCCATGATCGTTGATTTCATTGAAATATTATCATCACTCCGTGTTTTATAAAGCCTATAGCCAAATCACGAGTATTTACAGTATCTTTACAAAGATATATCATTGACTGTGGGTAAAACACATTGCTTTGTCTAAATGTAGTCAATAAGTAATGGAATGGTATTGTTTCATCTTGTTTTATAAACGTAATGTCGCTTTATATGTATAGCAAAAGTTTTGTTAATATTTAATTTAAGCAAATAAGTTGATTAGTTCTTGATGATTTATTTCGGAAATAATGCAATTACATTCTTTCTTTCTTTCCTTGGTTAAATTAAAGAAAAAAAACTACGATTCACACTATCAAAAGCATAACATAGAGTAAGTTTGAATTTTTCTGGAAAAGAAACTTACCTCTTAAATACGGTTTCAATCCCTAGTTTGTCCATATAAATCTGCTATTCATAATTGTATATAACTGTCACATCACACAAATTGACATAATTCCATTAGCAATAGAGGAAGTAAGAACAATTGATTTAATAGGGGAAGTACAGGGTTACAAACAGCCACTGCGAGATGAGTACACAGACTCCCTTCACCGATTAACTTCGTCGACCCTCTACTCTTACTCGCCTCACTGTTCTGTCTCTTTTATTACAGTAGGAAGCCACTGTATGGCATCCCGATATTGCCTGTAGCGTGTTGCTACCATCCGCCCGACTGTGATTCAGTTAACAGAGGGTGACGAGAGTGCTGGTAAACTTACCCCGTCATGTGGGTCGTCACCCCAGCGCGCGCCACACGAGCTCGTGTTTGAACAGTACATTATAAAACAGTATATCATCTGTATGTACACACACCAGAGCTATCAGAAAAAGTGTCGGAGAGATTCTAAAGGCGATATCGGATACACCTTTAGAAATGCATCTGTGAGGAGTACCGTATACAATAAAAATGCTTTAAGTTACAGAAATAGTTGTCCACGGCAACGCCATCACGTATGGCGGGACGCTTAACCCACAATCGCACTTCCACACAACACAGTATTTGCTTAGCCACTGCAAAATATGTTTACAGAGAAGTTTGAGGTTGTCAGTGAGTATTTTTTGGGGTCGCGAACATGGGGTTACTTTGTTTGCGTGTGTGGAGTGGAAGACGGGGAGAGAGTTTATAAACTCCCCCTGACCAGAATAGAGACATGTATCCTGACACAATCTATAGTAAATTTAATATTTACAGATTTGACTGATATACCGCACAGGTCAGTTGATGTAAATAAAAGCAACAAAATAATTTCAGTAAATATAAATAGAGCGTCAGTTTAAACAAATATAAATATATATATAGTTATCATACAGAACAAATTTATTGGATGTGAAAGGCTAACAAGCAATGGAATTTATATGAATGGGTCTATGAATATAATGAAATTGATATTTAGCAATAATATGAAATAATCCTTAACGTATATAAATACAAACATAGGCATATACTGCCAATCATGTAAGAATATATCCTGTGACGAATTCCGCAGTGACAAACAGATTGACAGCATGTATATTTATATCGTTGGTACGCCATGGCAAAATAAACCCTTCTTCGCTGAATTAAATGTTACATTCATAAAGCACATATTTGTTACACCTTTGAGGCTTATTGTCATGAACACCTAAAACTTATGTGAATTCACCATAGCGCCAGGTTATGTATGGTAGCAGGCCAGCACTCATGACCTAATTTAGTGTGTTCCTCAAGGGAAAGATGTTACACATATATATTGAATATTTATGTTACATTTTCTTAACGACTTAATACATTTCGATCACCTGCGATCGGCAAATTCGGCTACAAAGTCTAGGGAAAAAGAATATTTCGTGTGATACCATTGAATGGAAAATAGTCTCTAAGAGAAAATTCCTATATTTAGCACAAGCGAAGGAATTGATCGCACACGGAACTATAGGGATGTGTGGCAGGCCGACCATAGATCCCAGCGACTATGGTTCATCGAGCAGTGTGAAGTACACACAAACGTTAGGCTAGCAGCCCTTAATGTTCTTCCTCGGCCCGTCCAGACAGCTCATATATGTTATCATGTACAGGCCGCATTCCAAAAGGAACCGTTTGTTTCAGTGAACCCTGCTGTTGGCAGATTGTCAAACGTGTGTTCTACGCTTCTAATATATATGGCTCTCTCATCTTCTATTCAGAAGACAGATCGAGTTGCTTACCTCAAGAGAAGTTTCGATCGACAGGCAAGTCTCACATCGGAAGTAATACGTCACATGATCGCCAAGGGTAACCGCTGGTTCAGCGTGCGTGTGTATCTGAATATGGAGCAGATCGATTAAGTTATGATTGCAATAATCTGTTGTCTGTCACTGCAGATTTTATGTGTTATACATCTGTGCAATATACAGTGGGTTCGAAAGTTGTTTTGACATGTTTTCTGATCGTGCCACCTGTTGGCAGGATACGCTCATTTTTTCGCAAACACCTGGTATTATTAGAATTTGACTTATGATTGAGGTTGCACATTTTTTGAAAAGATGACATTGGTCTGAGCCAGGTAGAATATCATAGTCTTGGATACTACTCCCTGTAGAGGTTTAAATGATTTACAGTTACCATTTCAACATTTGTTTCGATTCAATTCCTTATTACAGAAGTGTAGACCATCGGCTCATAACTACAGAGGTTACATTGTACATGGTGTGTACAGTACAAATTAATAATATTAACAGCTTAGATACATTGCTAAATAAATAAAGCTTGCTAAAATATTGATAAGGTTACAATGTGATGATGATTGAAGAATTTGAATTTGGCTTTTCCTGGATTGGTACAATTGGTTTTAGGTAAATTTGCTACCTTTAATCGTTTAAAGTACGCTTGAATTCAGAGATCGTGTTGGTTCAATCAGTTGTTTACGGATACTGTACTCACAAATGGTTAATTAAATAAAGATAGAACATATAGATTATTAAAGTGTCCCAGAGTACGCACTAGCTATTACGGAGAGATTAAAACGAAGTCTACTGGCAGAATTCAGATATGGCCCACGTCCTCCAGAGTAGAACTAAGCCGCTCCTCTGGTCCGAAAACTCATTTAGATAATAGGGTACGTATCTTCCCCTGCTCTGTTAATGAGGAAGAATTGCAATTTTCTTAATTCACGTGAGCGTCATTCAGACTACAGGCTGTGTCTATTTGGCTTTCCCGTAAGAGGCGATTAACGGGATCGGGTGGTCAGGCTTGCTGAATTGGTTGACACATATCATCGGTTCCCAGTTGCGCAGATCGATGCTCATGCTGTTGATCACTGGATTGTCTGGTCCAGACTCGATTACTTACAGACCGACGCCATATAGCTGGAATATTGCGGAGTGCAGCGTAAAACTAAACACACTCACTCACTAAAACGTATTCTCACATACGTGTATTTAAAACATATTGTCTCATAAGCCAGTATATTTTATTCCGTAGCTCATATAATGACTAATATTTTAGAGATAGAGAGATATATTTATTCAGTAATTCGGCCTAATAGCCTAGAATGCAATTGCATTTCGATAGTAAACGTTTTGTACAATACCAGGCGCGTAGCAAGCCATCTTTTTCGTGTAAGCTTTATATTTAGATAATGTTGAGGGCTGATTCAACATTCATGTGTAAGCCCGGGCTTTTTTATAATGGTAGCTACGCCCCTGAATGCAACATTATTGTATGCATTCTATGTGACATGTTAATATAATATATCTTCTCTGTAACTTATAGACAAGAAAATAAGGCGAAGTGGGTTGACACAAAATGAAAACGACAATTAATAAGTCATAAGTCAATAAGTCATTATGCGCAATATGATTGGCTATGCTTCAGGTCCCTATTCTCCACCTCCCCTTTATGTCGCCATTGGTACACGAGAGCATGCTCTTTCTTCTACCCTTGCTGAAACGCTGCTTGATCAAAGTGAAAACACCCAAGGTCTTGAGGGGGCTTTCTAATGATTTTATTGCAGAGACATTGAGGTCATGTCCAGTGACAAAATACCTTATTTTGACTTGTACCATATGTTCCCGTGTGCCTTTTTCAGACGAACAATTAATTTGCCTTTGCGCATGTTTGTAACGGATGCCAGTGGTGGAACAGGATACGCTCACATGTCTTGAATCGATGAAACAACAAAAGACTCCAGCTATCGTCTTAAATCAATCCTATAATCACTGTATGTTTGTAACTAGTCATGTTCAGCTGACTTTTTTCCGTTGATATTCAGTCTACCATATACTTTGTTGGTGTTGAAAATGCGATGAGATGTGTACAAGTCCGCCATGTCTTACTTCATTCTTGACAACAGGGATTCCAAAAGGTCGCCTCATAACAGGACAAGGTAGCTGTCATTCACAAAATATCTTGATTTATCACCATCTTTGTGTCTTTAACATGTAAAATGCCATTCAAAGTAGATCTTTAGTTATTAATTCAAAGAGTTCATGACAATAATATTAGGGCAGGACACAAACCTGATATTCCTTCAAAAACCATTTGTTTTTGATATCTGAGAGAGGTATACACAATCTATACATGAAATGAAAGCTTGTGATCTGAGCATTAAGAAAAAAAATGATGTGGTGAAATTTATGTGGACATTTTCTTATAAAAACGTTTTTATGACAAACCAATAAAGTCTGTAGAGAAACTCTGCTGTAAAATGAGTCATCAAGAAAACAGTACTACCAGTACTTCCTGCAGTCTGCTGAGACCACTTCCTGTCCTAGCAGTGTTGACATTTGGAACTTGACAGCTTGTTAGATCTTTTTCCAAAGATTTTCATTCGAAGCATTGACAAGTCTTCAGATTTCTTCAATATCATTATTGAGGTAAGTTGTTTTCTAATTGTGTACATTTCCACAGAACCTTATGTTTCATTGATACAAATTACAGAAGATTACCAGTGGGTTAGTTATGCACTAATCTTGTTTGATGATAAAATTTTGAAATGGATTTCAAATAGGTAATTTGTTATTGTACCTGATATTCTAAGGTATTTTCATTGCATTTTACATGTTTAAAGTCAACTGTTTCATTGACAGATTTCAAGATAACTAACACTAAAGTTTTAACTGATGAAACTCCTTGAGAGGCCATTTTAAGGATGAAAATATTCATCAAATCCTATTCAGAGAATCTTATGCTTTATCTTTCTATTATTGGTCCAATTATATTTCAGATATTATAAAATTATGATTTTATTAGGTTTTTGATGATTCTTTTCAAAGAAGTTTTGAAAAAATGTACAGATAACATTCTGAAACCCTGAGAGGGCCACCCTGTATAAAATGCCTTGTCAGTGTAAGCAATTTTCCCTACAACTTAATATTACCCGATTGTGATCCTCAACTAAAAACACACACCAATCTTAGCAATAAATATCTTTTGAAGTGATTTTTAAAGAAGATATGTTGATTATAAAAATGTAGAAATGAAATAATTTCTTTCTTAACGTATATAATTTCCCCAAACATAATTTTTTTATATATGTATTTTTTTTTTCACCAAAATATAAACACTACCTTATAATTTGACAGGACAATTTCTTCTAAAATATTTATTAGATTGAATTATATTTATAAACATAGATATAATTCAATATGTGCATGCTGTCCAAAATTATTTTCACTAAAATACCTTTGAATTTTTATTTGAATTTTTGGGGTAAAATATAACAAGAAAATTGATTGCAAAGGTTTTTTCAAAACTGCGAATTAGATTTCTTTATTTGTTAAACTTTTACCTTTAATAGTTTCACATACATTCTTTTATTTATAAATAATATCTTGATGTTTTAAAATACAATGTACATATTTAAAAGAAAATTGCTATCATTTTCATGTAGCATCATAATGAAAGCTTGTATGTTTAAAAAAAGACATTTCCCTTTTTGAAATAGTTTTTCTCTTGTTTTTATTGATACATTACGAATGTAAACAAATTTAATGATTAAACTTAAACTTATACAGATACATAAGTGCCCAATTCTGTCAAGATAGGTCAAGTCCAAAATTGAACACTTTCACGTACCTTTTAGGTATGTATGTATTTCACAGTAGTTTCGCATACAGTCACATATATTCAGTGATGAGATCCTAACTTTTTTTTATAATGAATATTAAACATAACAAAAAGCTCTTATTTTGTTGTGTCAAAATGAAATTTTGTGTTTAAGAAGGGCATTTCTTTTCATGAAATGTTTTCCTCCCTGAAACAATGATATATTATAAATCTTTGAAGATTTCATGTTTAATTTTATTTTCATTCAGGTATATTTCTGAAAAACTTAAGCAATGGAGCCAAAGCCAGTGAAGTTTGGACAAGTCCAAAAAAGATCACTCTCTCATGAGCCTTTTAGACATATATATCTCTATATATACATGTAGTATCACAGAAGTTACACATACATTGACTTATGTATTGATAAAATCCTACCTTTATTTGTAAGACATTTTTACTTTAAATGTTGCTCTTAACCCAAATCATAATGACCTTTCATGTTTAAGAAAGGAATTCTCTTTATGAGTGAGTTTAGTTTTACACCGTTTTTAGCAACATTTCAGCACTATCACGGCGGGGGACACCTGAAATGGACTTCACACATTGTACCCAGGTGGGGAATCGAACCAGAGTCTTCAGCGTGATGAGCGAACGCCTTAACCACTGTACTACCCCACCACCCATCTCTTTATGAACTATGTTCTACTGTTAATAAATGTAAGAAGATTTAATGATGAAACTTTCCTTATTTCAGGTTAACTTCAAAGAGAACTGGACTTAAAGGGACCAAGTCCAAAAGAGTAAACATCCATCTGCCGAGTACAGCATCATAATGAGTGCTCGAACAAATTTATCACCTGGAGAATTACAATCACTGCCCAATTGAGCCAAGACGATGTTTTTACCAGACTTGTTTGGAAATGATCTTTGTGGTCAGGATTTGCTTTATCATAGATGTTTCTTAGTGAAGATGGGACTGTTCGACTTGTGCATTTGCATGCAGAAATGGTCTTTAGAAGACCATTATGTCTGACAGATTGTCATGATGTCACAATTGCCAAGGTTCTCGCACATCCCATAGGATCAGTTCCTACATTACTTTTCAATGAAGATGGATCAAGGAGGAAGACATCCAATGCCGATTTGACAGACAAATTAGAAGAAATTGTACAGAATGTTGACACTTTACCAGACTTTGACAAAAAGACACTGTCCACATTCGCGATACAATGGCAATATTGATAAGTATGAAACCTGCCATTCCCTCCGCGTTTGA